GTTTGGGGTTTGGGGTTTGGGGTTTGGGGTTTGGGGTTTGGGGTTTAGGGTTTAGGGTTTAGGGTTTAGGGTTTAGGGTTTAGGGTTTACGAGTTTGAGGTCTTTCTTGGCACTCATGCTGATGACGTGAATTCCCTTTTGGTGAGAGCCCACCATATTTTCCAAAACCAAAAAAGGAGGTTCCGTCCGCGGCACTGTGACCACTTGAATCCGCTCTGCGCCAAACCCTAAACCCTAAACCCTAAACCCTAAACCCTAAACCCTAAACCCTAAAGGGATTTGGGACTCCTGCATAAACCCTAAACCCTAAACCCTAAACCCTAAACCCTAAACCCTAAACCCTAAACCCTAAACCCTAAACCCCCCTAAACCCTAAACCCTAAACCCTAAACCCTAAACCCTAAACCCTAAACCCTAAACCCTAAACCCCAAACCTAACCCCAAACCCTAAACCCTAAACCCCCTAAACCCTAAACCCTAAACCCTAAACCCTAAACCCTAAACCCTAAACCCTAAACCCTAAACCCTAACCCTAAACCCTAAACCCTAAACCCTAAACCCTAAACCCTAAACCCTAAACCCTGAACCCTAAACCCTAAACCCTGAGCCCTAAACCCTGCTAAGCCCTGAACCCTGAACTCGGAACTGCTGGCCACAAACCCTTTGTTGAGCGCTGTTCGCCGCCGCACGCGCTGCCAAACCCTAAACCCTAAACCCTAAACCCTAAACCCTAAACCCTCGAGAAGAAGCGAAAAACGCCGCCAAGCCCGCCAAAAGAAAGCGGAAAGAAAAGGCAAAAAGGAATGAAAGAAACAAAACAAACAAAACAAACAAAATAAAAGAAATAAAAGAAATAAAAGAAATAAAAGAATAAAAGAATAAAAGAAATAAAATAAAAAAGAAATAAGAAGAAAAGACTCGCCGTTGTTGTAGTTGATGGCCGCGGGGTAGGGGAACTTGCAGAGTTCGCAGAGGAGTTGTTTGACGAAGAGGGGTTTTTGCTGCTGCTGCTGCTGCTGCTGCTGCTGCTGCTGCTGCTCCTGCTGCTGAATGTTTAATCTTCCAGAAATCCAATGTCTTATGCAACTCAAATGAACAAATCTAATTGACCCTTTGCAGTCGCAAGGAGATATCAAAGGGTCTCCTTCTTGGTTGCCCTCCAGCAGGCAAATCCGGCACTGCATGTCGCTGCGCGCAATACGCTGATTTAGGGTTTAGGGTTTAGGGTTTAGGGTTTGCGCTTTCGCTCCGGGACCCGCCTGTAGGCTCCGGAGTTGGGACTGCGGCTCGGGTTTGCGCTCTTGCGGCTTCTAGGGTTTGCGCTCCTCTCGGGTTCGGAGCTAGGGTTTAGGCTGCTCGAGGGTTTAGGGTTTAGGGTTTAGGGTTTAGGGTTTAGGGTTTTCTAGGGTTTCGGGAGGAGGGCTTCCTAGGCACCAGGGCTTCCCAGGGTTTGCCTAGGGTTTGCCTAGGGTTTAGGGTTTCTCGGCTCTACGCTTCCTACGCTTCCCAAGGTCCCCAGGGTCGAGGGTTTAGGGTTTAGGGTTTAGGGTTTAGGGTTTAGGGTTTACTTGGAGGCAACGAAGGAAAGCGGGGGTTCTCCGTCGTCGAGTTTGAGGGGTGGAATCTCGGAATTAGGGTTTTGAGAATCCTCTCTTTTGAGGGTTTGCGTCACTATTTGTTTTACTTTTAATTTATATCTTCCAAGTTTAATAATATCATTTTCTTGTAAAATGTGTTTATTATTATTTTCATCTCGGACAATCGACCACAGCTTCTGAGGTGTACAGACACCCGAGGGCCCCGACCGCTCCGCGGGCATCACCACGAAACGCCCTGCGCAGCAGCAGCAGCAGCAGCAGCAGCAGCAGCGGCAGCAGCAGCAGCAGCAGCGGCAGCAGCAGCAGCAGCTGCGGCAGCAGCAGCAGCAGCAGCAGCGAAGGCGAAGGCGGTGAGTTGCTTTCTTTTGGCTGTATTTTGCTTTTGCTGTTTTCTCTTTTAATGCGCAAACACACGCGATGCAGCAGCAGCAGCAGCAGCAACAGCAGCAGCAGCAGCAGCAGCAGCAGCACGGGCAGCAACACGAGCAGTAACAGCTGCTGCAGCAGCAGCAGCAGCAGCACGGGCAGCAACACGAGCAGCAACAGCTGCAGCAGCGTTGGAGATACGGGAAGAGCAGCAGCAGCAAACAGCAATTAAGCAAACGAATTAAATCAAATTAAATTAATTAAATTAATTAAATTAATTAAATTAAATTAATTAAATTAATTAAATTAAATTAAATTAAATTAAATTAAATTAATTAAATTAAATTAAATGTCACTAAGACGAACCGTCACGAGAGCATCGGATGGAGAGCAAGAAGTCAGTGGTTGGCGGGGCCTCCTGCTGCTGCTGCTGCTG